ACTATTTTCACATTACCTTTATATTTTCATTTATTTCGCATTATTTCGAATTATTTTATATTATTTAATATTATATAATTTATTTTATTTTTTCATTTATTTTATTTTTATATTTTATTTTATCCTTTATTTTATCTTATCAATGGCTTCTTCTTCAAAATCGGTAGCTGGAAAACATGATCAAATAGTCGCAAGTCGGCATAAGGCTTTTAGAAAAATGACTACTGTTAGGCCTTTATCTCAGTTAGATACTGTGTGGAAAAGTGCGCCTGTAGTCAAAACAATTAGCACTCCATTGCATTATTCTCCAAGACCTTCTTATAATGATTAAAATTAAAAAATATTTTGTTTATTTCGTTTATGGTATTTTTAATTTAATATTTTATTTAAAATAATTTAAGATCAATCTACTTTGGCTGCTATTATAAATAAGCTCAATAAGCTATCCGAGCAAATTGTGACTTTGGATCGAAAACTTTCGGCTTTAGATAGCCATGTATCTGAAGGTCTTAAATTAAAAAATAAAACTGATTTCGTTAAAGTAATTATTATTTTTATATATTTATGTTCAAATTAATTTAATTTAAGCTAATTATATTTATTTAAATTATAGCAAATATGTTCGGCTATTGCTAAAGACCTTATTACAGAAAATATTTATCTGAACGATAGCGAATTAAAACAAGCGATAAAGGAGTATCTTGATGTAAATGAGACAGTTTTTTACTGTTCTAAGAAAGATCGAGATTGGAATACTTATTATCAAGAATATCTTGCTAGTCTTGTAAATATTTTAATTATTTCAAATTATTTCAAATTATTTGCCTTTTTAAATTTTTGCTCTATAGTTTATTATAATCTTTCATTATTTTATTAAATTTGTATTTTTATTTTCTTAACTAATTCGATTTATTTTGCATAAATTTAATTACACTTAATATTTTTCTATTTGTTCTATTCTTGTTTAAATGATTTTCTTATATTTCTATTTATCATTACTGTCATTTTTAAAAATTTTAATTATTGATATTCAATCTCAATTTAATTTGAACTAATTCGCACTAATTTAATTTATTTTATAAATTTTTTATTAGCTTTTAGCAGCACATCATTCATGCAGGAGTCGTCTAACTATATCTATTAAAAAAGTAATTTTTTCATTTTATAGCAAGTCATTATTAGATTATATTAATATTAAAGCAACTCCCGCTCAAATGGAGAATTGGAAGAAATCAACTAAAACATCAGATGCTTATAAAATGCTTTTGAAACCCATTTTAAATGATTCGGACGAAACCTGCTTCGATCAAATTTTGGAAAAAGTTTGGTCAACTGTTACGCCAAATAACAATCAATTGGCGTATATATTGACCGTATGCCAAATTATGTCAAATCATAATTTTGATAAGTTGGTGATAGATGATATTGTTACAAAAAAAAGACTAGAGAGAAATATTGTAAGTAATATACTATTAATTATATTTATTTAATTTAAATTTTTTAAAATAATTCAAACTAATTTAATTTTATTAATTAGAATAAGCTAGCTGAAAAAACCACATTTATTCCTCTAGTAGATAGCAATGATTCGTTAGATGAAGCCGAAGAATTTGAAATCCCCCCACCTCTTGCTAAGAAAAATAGAAAGCGAAAAATAACATCAACATCCTTATCCTGACTGTACAAAAAAGGTAAAACTACTCGTACCACAGTTACCATCGAAACTACACCTGCTCATACAACTGCACATTCTTCTATATATTCAAATATTTCTGACTCTTTTCAAGATAATTCACATGAAACCACCCAAACTCATGATAATCCAAATAATTCTGCACAAAATAACCCGCAACAAAATCCTTCTGAAAATGCTGAGCATCAAGATGAATCTTAAACAATTTTTTTTCGATTATATAAAAATGTTCAAACAAATTTGTTTAAAATATATTTTTTGTTGTTATTTTTGTTTTTATTTTATTTTTTTATTTATTTTTATTTAGGATATTATAATTTATCGCATATGCGATATATCGCTATACTTTCAATTATTGTTATACATAACAAAAATGATAAACAATGTGATGGTAATACAAATATTTAATGGCATATTTTGATGGCTGCATGATGACACGAACAATGTTTGGTAAATAAATACATGAGTTTGATCACTTCTGATCGAACTTCTTTCTTTCGCTCAAGCACAAAAAAATAGTAAACATTATTTTGCCTTTTTGTATCAATCTTACATTGTTACATTTTCTTAATTGTATATTTGTTCTTGAATAATTATTGAGTTCTTTTGCAAAAATTTTCGCAAATAACATCTCTTGGCACCTATTTTATTGATATTATGTTGTTGTTAAGCTCTTTACACTCTCTCTCTAACATTGAATTATTGTTGAGTTCTTTGCACCTTTCAGCATCTATCTATTTATATTACATTGTTGTTGAGCTCTTTACATCCTTTTATCGTATATCTGACATTGAATTATTGTTGACTTTTGGTTTTATTTATGTTACATTGTTGTTAAGTTCACATTCAAGTTCTTTGCAAGAATTTTTTTATTGTTACCTACCTTATTAAAGTTACACTTAAAACATTCACTTTATTGTGGTCGTGTTTGTTTGACATTGAAATTATTGTTGGTATTGTTTTATTCTTTAGCTATTTACCTTTTTAGCTCTTTACGTTTTCTTTATTGTTTAGTACGATAATTTTTTTATCACAGTGCTCATAACTTTTAAACTCTTTAAATTCTTGCTCTTTCTATTATCAATCGTCATTGCTAGTCTTTGTTTTGATTATGATTAATAAATTTGAAGAAAGCAAATTTCTTTATACTAATGACTCTTCTGAATCAAGCTATAATACAGATTATTTACGAATATATAATTAATTACTAAATCAAAATGATACTGACCAAACATCTTTATATTCTGTAAAAAAATTTGCTACATGGGAGTTATATGAATCTTTTCTCAATGAATAGGCAAAATTTCAAGGATTTCGTATAATTAGGGATCATGTTCAACATGATAATGGTATTGTGCGACGAAGAACTTATATATGTGAACATGGTCATGTCTATGAATCAAATTCAGTAAAAGATACGAATACAAAAAAAACACAATGTCAATTCTTAGTTAATGTTGCTAATCCTAAAATTAACAATCCAGATGATTCTATAATTATTAATAAAATCATTAAACAACATAATCATTTACTGAATCCAAAAAGAATTAAATTTGAAGACATGAAGAAATTTAGCAATACAATGTTAGAAGATATTAGATTTATGACTGTATATTGCAAATTTGGAGCTACAGCACAACGTAAATTTCTTGAAGGAAAGTATCCTATGCAGCCAATTTATTCGAAAGATCTATATACCGCTATACAAAAGTTTCGTCTTAATAGTAAGACATTGTCTAATGATGCAGCACAGGTAACAAACCTATTTTATTTGCAAACTGCATTTATTTCACTGACAATCGCTTTATAAATTAGTAAAGTAATTATTATGAAATGATCCTTACTTATAAATTGTAACTCAAATATAAATTATTGTTGCAGCTGATGATGAAAATGGCTGATGCTGAAATTTCAATTATTTTATTATTAAATTTTTAAAAATTTTTTGGGCCTTTTCGTTAGGGGTTTTTTTATAGCGTTAGGTTAGGGTTAGGGGGTAGTTTTATTAGTAAAAAAGTATATGTGAATTTTAGTAGATATTATAGATTTAAAAAGGGACCCCAGATTTCAGCATCAGCCGTTTTTAGCATCAGCTGCAACAATTATTATTCTAGATCTCAAATTGGTTAGACCAGAAGAAGGATACTGATTCACGTTGGGTTGTTGTTAGAGACTGGGACGATGACAATACTTTAACACGTCTACTTTGGATAATGCCAATACAAGTAGAAAATTGGATCCAGTACTCTAATTGTGTATTAAACGATGTAATACATAAGACTAATCGGTATGGAATGGCCTTGTCTTTGTTCGTTGGGTTTGATAGCAACAGGCAAAATATTCTATTGGTGCAAGCACTTTTAATTGATGAAAGTATCGAATTGTATAAATGGATATTTGAGCAAATAATTAAAGTTACCAATGTCCAACCATTAGTAATATTAACCAATGCAGATCCTGCAGTTGATTCTGCAATCCACCAAGTGTTTACATCAACATATCCTATCTATTGTGCATTTCATATAAGCCAGAATTTATACAAAAATCTTAGGAAAATGTTGGGTGAAAATTATCAACATTTTCTTAGTAATTTTTATTGTTGTAGAAATAGTTTATCTAAAGAAGTTTTTCAGCAAAATTTTGATAGTCTTATAGAAAAATACCCTAATGCTAAAAGTTATTTGGAATATCTTTACAAGTCAAAGGGCCATTGGGCGCACTGTTTTATTAAATACAAATTTACAGGTGGCATGATTGCCATGTCCCGTGTTGAATCAGTTAATGGATATTTGAAAAATTTAGTACATAATTTAAATGTCTCATTGTGTGAACTCGCAGTGGAAATACATAAATTATTTGATTTTCAGAATAAGGAAAATGAGTATAGGTAGATATTAATAGCAAGAAGCATTCGATTAATAATGTTATATTTAATATTTCTTGTTAACAATTTATCTTCTAAATGTAGATTTTGGTGTACTGCAATACCAAATGTTCAAAATCAAGAAAAAGTAAATTTTTTATTTACTAAAGTTGATCTGTGTCTCCAGCGATACCTTAAACCCAATGTTCTGAAAATGCAACACGATGAGATAAATCAGTCAGTTTACTATACTGCTAATCGAATTTATCAACAAGATAATGAAAAGGTAAACCTATAATATTAAAGATATTCTGGTCTAATCTAGTTAATATAAGCATTTATTTTTATACAATATAGGAGAACCAGTCAATAATTATTCAAGAACAATCAATTAACAAACCACAAGCTACACTCAAGCAAATAGTTAAATTTGTTGGCCAGATAATATTAAAGAATTTTGGACTATAAACGTTGGGAATTCATTAAATATTAAGCATTATGTCTTGTTGCTACAAAATAATTCGTATTTATGTTCCTGTCTTTCTATTATCCAATGTGGTATCGTGTGTAGATATTATTTCCAATTGATGCTAACAACTAGTAATGCAAAGTTCCATATTCGAATGTTACCTTCTCGTTGGTATTTAGCTAATGATACTGGGTCTGAAGAGCCATTTTTGGTTGCAGATAAATTTACTCAAGATATGTCAATCTTACCAAATAATTTATCAGTTCCTTATTTATATCTTTTTAGACAAGAAAAAGCAGACTTTCGTGAAGAAAATCTGACAACACTTGAGCAAAGGATCATTTATGGAAAGCTTCACAGTGTATATAAGAAGACTTTAAATAAAGCATTACAAAATAAGTCAAAATCTCAACAATTAATCGATTTGCTCCAAGATTTTACTAAAGAAGTTGATCTTGATGATATATCAGATTCAAATGATGAAAGCTAGCAAAGTAATGATAATTATGTTGATAAAGAGAATGTAAATCCTTATTTACAAAATTCAAAAGTGCGTAAGGGCAGAGGTCGTCTACTGGGCACTAAAAGACTCAAGTTGTCTCATGAAGTTGTCAAGCCCAAAACAAAGCAACAATGTCGATGTAAAAAATGCGAAAATGTTGGGCATTATCAAAAAAATTGCAAGGAAATGTGTGAATAATTAGAGATGTAATATT